GGGCCTGACGGGGCCTAGCGAGCAGCGCCAGTTCATTTGCAACGAGTGCGGCAAGAGCTTCTCCTGGTGGTCCGCTCTCACTATCCACCAGCGCATCCACACGGGCGAGCGGCCCTACGCCTGCCCAGAGTGCGGCCGCCGCTTCAGCCAGAAACCCAACCTCACGCGGCACCAGCGCAACCACACCGGGGAGCGGCCCTACTTGTGTGCTACCTGTGGCCGTGGCTTCCGTCAAAAGCAACACCTCCTCAAGCACCAGCGCGTCCACCGTGGAGCCCTGGCACCCAGGCCACGTGCCTCCCAGGAGGAAGAGACGCTGTAGTATGAGCCCAAGGCAGAGAGGTCATGTGTGGTGGGGTGGGGGGGGGACTGAGAGGGCTGGAATGTTGGCACTTTCCGTGAGACCCATTCAAAATGTTCCTCCAGGTGCAAAGGCACGAGAACAACTCCAGAACCTTCTTGAGGGCACCTGGCAAAGTGCCCAGGTTGTGCTGAGGGAGGAGGTGGGATTCACACTACCCATCGAGCCTAGGCCCATAGTGTGTACTGTGCGCCTCCAAGAGGTGGACCACAGACCTCTCGGGCTCTGGTTGAGGGGAATGTTGGGGTCTCTGAGAGGCTCGTGGTGTGACATGGCCAGGGTTGGTCCGGTGTATTCCTAGCCTCCCATGCTCAGCTTGCAGTGTAGCCTGGGGACTGTCTCCATGAGGCAGTGGCCACAGACTCCGAAGACCAAGGATGGAGTGGAGGCAGTGGATAGGGAGGGCTGAGCATATTCCCAACACCAAGGACAGTGTTTACACTTAATGACTGTCCAATAAATATTTCTGGAGAGCTGAGTAGTTTGGTGGTCCTTGTCCAACACTGTGTCTCCATGGCCCAGGGTGCTGGGGATAGTGAGTGGCTGGTTGTGACTGACTTGGGTCCTTATCCACCCAGGAGTTGCAGAAGAGAAAAATGAAGGACTGATTATTCCACATGGTGTCATTGTCTGAGTCCCCCTTGGTGAATCCCGGGTCACAGAGTGTTTCAGTGGATCCATCTGCCCAGAACCAGGGCAGGGAGCTATTGCCCTGAGCCCAGCAATTCCCCTCTGCCAGTTCTTGCTCCACCTAGGAGACAGTTTCTCCCCTCTTCTCCTTCAAGTCCATTGGTATCTGTTCCCACATAACCCTGGGCCTCTCACCCCCTACAGCTCAAATCCCACACTGAGCAAGTGTGCTGGGGTCATCACACCTGTATGCTCAGCTCTTAGCATCAACACGAAGCTAAACTGGAAGGGGTTTCCTGGGTACCCCTCTGACCCATGCCAGTCCTAGGTGCCCCCTGCCTCCCCCTGAAGCCCTGCACCTCTCCTGCAACTCCTTTTCCAGCCTGCTCTGCCCTGCCCAGAAAGTGCCCAGTGCCCTTGGTTACATTAAAATCCAATCTAGCCATGGAAGACACTCCAAAGTCATTTGCTTCTTCCTCTTTGCCACTTAGAAAACCCTGAAGCCAATCTGAACAAGCTCGCCCACTCCAGGTAGGCATCTCTGGGTATTGCCATTCACTCCTGGGTGGGAGCTACTACCCGCAAGATTGGACCAGTAGAAACACTGGATCCCTGCAGAGTCAGGTGGTAAAAGCAGGTACTGGCGGGGATATCTTACAACAGAATGTGTTCCCTGGCCCGTTTGACAATGAGTCAAAGTGTAGTGTTGGTAGAACTGGGAGTGAATGATGCCTAATTGCAGCTCTCCTGCAAATTCATGAGGATGCCTGCTTACTTTCCCTGGGTGACCAACTCACACACTAGTGCTTTGGGTCATAAGGGGACAGGACCAAGTCCCCTAGATGGTGAATTAACGATGTGTGTGCCCACTGACCAGGTCAGTCCTAATGTGTTCCAAGCATATTGCTAGACTTCTGCCATGAGTAATATACTGTCCCTGCCTTTGAGCTCAAAGATCTTCAGGCAAAACCATTTTGATGACACATATGGTTTGGAAAATCTATATGGTTATCTTGGAGGAAGGCTTTCTTTCTTTCTCACAGAGTCAGTGATGTTGGTAGGGCATTTATAGGAAAACAAGGATGGGCCAGTGTGACTTATCCTCTGCTGCAGACTGATGGTAGGTCCCAGGCCTCCTGTTAGCCTGCATCCAGTGTTGCAGTCACTGAATCTCCAAGAATGGCAGGGCACTATCAACTCCAGTTTTCATTCCCACTTATTTAAAGTGATAAAACTGGGTCAGAATATTTCAGAAGAGACGTCTCATAAAATCAAAGACAAGATCAGACTTGTTATCCTAGTGTCTTCCAATTTAAGATACTGTGCAGAGATTACAGGGTTGCATAGGGACAAATACAACCACGGGTATGTAAAGATCTTAAAGGATTCCTATCCTGTCCACTATCAGAGTTACAATAAGACACATGCACTGGGTGGGGCTGGGTTCTCTAGAGCCCCTTTTTCTTTTGTTGGGAGCAGGCTGGGGGCTAAGAAAAATGCCATAGGTACTGGGACAGGGGTTGTTCTTTGGCAAGCAACATGAATATCAGGTCTGCCATTGAGGCTGTCAGGTTCCTTAGGGCCTGGTGCCTGTTACCCAGCACCATGGGTGTCCCCATGGGCACAGTCTGCCATGGGGATCTGCTAGAGGAGAAGGGGTCAGAGGCCAAGGAACAGCTGCTCAGCATGCACAGGACAAGGGACAGAGTGGGTCAGGTGTCCAGTGGGAACCTGGCAGAGAAACTGGCAAAGAAGGGGTTGCTTCTGAAACCTTTTATTATTTTAACATGGTTTGCATGTTTAAAGGGGTTTATCCATGGTTGGGTAAAGCAATATCTTTGACCTTTTGGCAAATGGAGGAATAATTGGGACTAAAAATAGTGTGTTCTCACTTATCACCATTTTTCTTGGGTCCAGGTGGGGATAGTATCACTTAGGTTGTCCCTTAGGATAAAGAGGGTATGGGCACCCAGGGGACAGTGTCCAAGGCCAGTGCTATCAACAGCACATTTTGTGATGATGAAATGTTCTATGTCTATGCTTCCAGTTACATTCCCACTGGCCAATGTGACTGTTCAACACTTAAAATGTGGCTGGCATGGCTGAGAAACTGGATTTTAACTTTTCTTTCATTTTAATTAATTTAAATGGCTTCACTTGACTATTGTATAGTATAGTCCTAGGAATGATGTTCTTGTTGGCAAGAAGCTAAAAGCCTTATTTTCCCTTTCTTTCCTCCCCTCCTTTCACCCATGGCCCAAATCTAAAAAGGCCCTTGGTCTTTTTGTTGGAAGTACAAGTCAGACGGTTCTGACTTTTGCCATTTAAGTTATGGGACCCTGGTAAGGTATAATAATAACTACCATTTATTGATTTTTTTGGGGGGGTACCTGGGATCTAACTCGGGACCTTGTGCTTGCAAGTCAGGTGGCAGCACCACTGAGCTAAATCCCCGGCCCTACCATTTATTGAGTTCTGGGCATTCACAAGCAATCAATAATACAGGGTGGCTGTTATTATTATTTAAAATAAACTCCATGTGTAAGCCATGCATGAGACACATGCCTATAATCTCAGCATTCCTGGAGGTTGAAGGAGAAGAACCACAAGTTTGGGCCCAGAAACTCAGTGACTTAGTGAGACCCTGTCTAAAAAAAGTGCCAGGGATGTAGCTCAGTGTAAAGGCATTGGATTCAATCCCCACTACTGCAGAAACAAACAAGATTAAATAATCACAATGTATACCTAAAATGTACCAATAAATTTAGTGAATTAAAAAAAGGATTAAATAAATAAAGGTCACCCATCTTGGCTGCTTGCAGAGCATGTGTGTCTGGGGAAAGAGAAGAAAATGTTTGTCCCCCATTTGGCTAAGTCTTTATGAATATGAGCTGTCTCCTGGGTTAAGCAGGCCTGCCACAAGTGAAAGGGTTGGCTGAATTGACATTGTAGGTTGTGTCTTGGATTTTAATTCTAAAGCTTGGATCAGTGAGACCTCACACCAGAAGCTCCAAATCTTCACTCTGGTCTCTGCAGCACCTTCCAATTCTCAAAGCTGAGACTGTGGCTACAGCTTAGCAGGCAACTCCCCATGTCTGTGTTAGCATGCTTGGGGCCATATTTCCCCTCTCTAGCTGCCCACCTGAACTGTCAGATGTAGCTTGCAGACAATCATTCACTCATTCATTCACTCAATAGACACAGACTGAGGACCTATTATATCCTGGATCCTTCGCCTACAGGGATGCTAGAACACACTCCTTGTCCTCTGAAGTTTACAACCTGATGGGAATAACAAAAATGCTGAATTCCAAATCTGAGGCCAGCACTGAGTGCTTTGGAGAGAGATATGAGGGACCGCTGTCTGATCCCTGGAAACAGAAGGAGCTCATGAGGGCAGGGTACTGGTTCATCCATGAGGACGGGATGTGGGCTGGGAGAGACAGGAGGTACATATGTGTGAAACTGGAGAGGTGAAGTGACTAAGCCAAAAATCAGATCAGTGGCAGATCAGAGTGAAAGCCCTTGGTCCTTGACATTCCCCACAGAGACCCAGGGCTTTAGGTGGTATTTTGGTGGCATCCTCTCCCTAGCTGTGTTCTTTTCTATTTTGGTACAGCTCACCTGGAAAGTGCTGCTAAATATATGGGCACCATCCTTAGATATATTACAATTTTGCTTTTGAAAACCTTGGTCTTCACAGTGTCCCCATTTTTCTTGTGGACCGTGGGAGATACGAAAACTTTTCATGGCAGGTGACAACTTCTGCAAGAGGAGCTGGAGTGCTGGGAGGTGTGGCTGTCATCAGGGGCCAGGAGGTCCTACTGTTCCTGTCATGGGAAGTCTAAACTTTTCCCTGGGATAAACGTTGACCCTGACCAAACATCCCACCCCCCCCATGCCTCTATTTAAAACACCACTCTCTTTGGGACGTGTAATACACGTGTCCAGGGACCTCAGTGAAGTGGAGGAGCAGTGGGGAGGAGAAGCCAAGAGTGGGTCAGTCTGGGCTGGCTGGGACCTGCTGGCCACCACATCTGGTATCCATACAAGGGGTGACTTACTGCCTAGGGCCCTCCCCGGGGAAGTTTTAGTCCTAGTGTCCAAAAGGCACAGGGAGCACCTGTGGGACCCAAGCGAGTGGGAGTCTTCATGACCCTGGAAGCCTCAGTTGCCCAAAGTGCCACACTTGCAGCCATGCCTACCATTTTTGCCAAAAGAAGCTATTTCTGGGTCTTGGGAATCCCAATGACCCTTCCCTTGGCAGCTACTGAGGGGCCACAGTAATATAAAAATTAAATAAAGCTCATTTAATGTTCTAGCATTTGTAACCCTAAAATCACTTTCCTCCCCAGGTCTTCTCTTTTTCTGTCAAGTGTGAATTCTGAGCCACTCAGAAAGAGAGAGGGAATTACTTCTGTTCAGTCATCAGTCTTTTTTTTTTTTTTTTTTTTTTTTTT